ACTGCTATTCACAAAGCAGGCACCAGGTGCTGGACCTCGACCCAGGCCCTCTGAGTGACAAGTGACTGAGGTAGATCCTGCTGTCACCTCCAGGTAAAAACACAGGAAATCGAGGCCCAGTGAGGTGAAGTGACTTGCCCAAGGTCATGCAGCCTAGAACAGAACACACTGGTGTGCAAGCCTGTGCCGACTGGCTCCAGAGCCCACACCTGCACCTTCTACTAACCCTTCAGGTGTGTCCTGCTGTCAGGGGGAGCCATTTCTCCCTGGTCACAGCTCTAAGAGGACCCCACGTACAAACAGATGGTTACACCAGGACTAGACAAAGGGTAGTTGAGGAAGTGAGAGCAAACGATGTCAAATGGCAACCCCCAATACCTGCTAAGAAAAGTCCTATGATAAAATGTTAGCTCCAAGAGAAGGAAGGAGGCTGCAGGTAGGAGTGGGCCGGAGCAGGGCACAGACATCAAACACAGATGTGGCCCTGGTTGGATGCCAGCCATTCCCTGTCTGGGCCTCCAGCTCCCCTTAAGGGCTAAGTACAGACCTGCCTCCTGATAGAAATGCTGGTGCACTGGACAGGAATGGCTTCCTTAAGAACACCTGTCACTGTCCCTCTTAAGTTTGGAGTGCCCAAGGCTAAAATCTAGCAAAAGGCTAAGGGAAGGAGCAGGGTGAAGAGCAGGGAGAAGGCAAAAGCCTACTGTGGATTTGGGGTTCTCTGGTCACCCACTGCTGTGTAACCAACCACACCAAAGTGAAGTGTCACAATCACAATCATTCCTGGTTCTGTGGCTTGACAGGGCTCAGCTGGGCAGTTCTCTTATCTCTCAGGTGGTCATGATGGGTGGTAGCTGGGCTGAAGTGGGCTGACTGTCCAGTAGACTTGACTCCTACATGTCCTGTGGTGTCTCAGTCCCCAGGGCCTCACCCAGTGGGGAACCTTTGGCTGGGTTTGAAGAAGTAGGAAGCAGAACTACCAGGCAGGCAACTGATGTTCTGTTGGATAAGAATTTAAGATGCAAGGTGCACAGAAAGGGAGGTGTGGCTATGCCTGCTGTGGGCATGAGGTCGATAAGCCACTCTAGAAACAGGTTGAAACCTCTGGGAGGGAACCCAGCGGGGCTTTTCTGGGGTTCGTGGACATGACTGCAAGCACAGGGACTCAACATTTGGGGCCGTTCTTGAGGATGCGGACAGTGTACCTCTGATCCTCACAGAGCCTGGCACTCAGTTGGTGCTGCACTAACATTTGCTGAGAGAACTAGCATGGTGCCAGCACGAGGGTGGTCCTGACGCCTTTGGAAAGTCCTTCTAGCCAAAGCTCTCACCCAAAGAGGCTCCACAGGAACACCAGCACCTATCGCACAGCCTTGTAGCTGTAGGCACTCAGTTTATCTTGGTTGAATGAATATACAACTGCTCAAACTCACGGAATACTTAAGGGAATTGAGTCCTAGCTCCCCCTCTCTACGTTCTAGGAGGTCATCAAGTGCCATTCTGCAGATCCTGGACTGGGGAGAGGGGTGATCTCACCCCCTGGCAAATTCTGACACCTGCCATGCTAAGAATGCAGGGCCTGCCAGCCACTGGTCGCATGCATGGCATCTCACTGAGGCTCACAGATGAGAAGACCATAGCTCAGAGACCTGGAGTCCCTGGCTGAGGTCACACAGGCTCCTCCGAGTGAGGAGGAGCGGACTTGGACTGTATCTGACCATTGGGTCTGTCTTCCCCTGCTGCGGGTCAACAGGCCATGTCAGCCTTCCTGCTTCCCAGATGGCCCAAGGAACATCTTCTTTCCGGTCCAGCCCCAAGGGGCCCCAACTCACAGGCTGTGTCTCGACCATGGGGAAGCAGATCTTCATTGTGGCCATTTGGGCTGGCCTCATGGCTGGGCCGGAGCACGCACAGCCTGCATAAGTTTCACTTCGGATTTAGCATAACAAAACTTTTAATTTAGATGTTTTCATCTCTCTCTCCAAGTAAAAATAAGTTTAAAATAATGACTGTAATAAATGAAGGTAATTAATTGTAGTTTGTTCCTTTACTGTCTAGTCAGCTTAATTTTACCTTTTCAACTAATAATGAGAAAATAATTTTTGTGCTCGGAGGGTTAATGATATGTAACTGCGAGAACTGCTAATTGCATGTTGCAATCCATCCATCAACAACCCCATCTGTGCGACTTGATTATGTTTGCTAAATTATTGCTTTGAATTATCTTTCATAAAGCAACTTTTGTAATTAGCGGGGCTTTCGTCTTGCTCTTTTCTCTGCCGCGCAAGGAGATCCAAACTTTGGCCATTTCAAGCTGTCTCCGAGAGAAGCCACCTTCCCCAGATGTCTTTGTTTGCCGGAGCAGGGAAATCATCGCGGTCCTTCAGGCAGTCAGCACGGGGAGCTTCCTGGATTCACAGCAGGGCAAGTGTGCGTCCTTCCCGCTCCTCCCACACCCACACCACGTGGACAGGCACAGGCATGGTGCATGTGGAAAACCAGACCCCGAATGCTCCCCCAGCAAACAAAGGCAAAAGGGATGCCCAGGCGCTGGTGGTATGGAATCCCAGAATAAACTTACATGGGGTCAGTTGTAATGAGAGGCTGGCCCCTGCAAAGACTGGGTGGCGGCGGGACGTTGGGCCCTGGCATTTTACAGGCTGCTTTATGGGCAGCAGGATGGCGGCTGCCCGGGGGAATGTTTCCAGGAGGTGATTAATGCTCACTTGGGAATGCGTAGCTCCAGCCCAGAGTCTGGCAGAGGGTGAGAGGGAAGCGGCGTGAAGGATGAGCCCTCATTAAAAAAATTAAAATGAAAATCATATTTGGATTATAAACAGCCTTGCGTGCACGGCTCGTTCTGGATGAAGATGCTTTTTATTAACACCTTTCTTTGGCGGCTGTTTCTCCCTTGCGGCACAGGAAGGGCTACAGTGGCCACAGTGGCTTAGTCAATACATCATGAGCAAAGCAGGGGGTTTTGGAATAAGATTCCAGACAAATGTAGTCTTTTTAGCACATTAAAGGGACGACGGAAAGCCCTCTTAAGAACATGAGCGAGATACTTGGAGATGCTGGCCATTAAAACAGTCTTCAACATGTCAAAACGTTGGGACACAAGGATTCGGCTTCCCTTTCAGCTCCCCTGAGACTCCCTCAGCACCCACAAGTGTGCCAGACACCCTGTAGACCACCTCCATGCTGCTTAGTTCTCGGAACTCTGAGCCAAAGCTCAGAGAAGTTAAGGAAGCTTCCCCCAGCCACACAGCGTGTGTTGGGGTCAGGGCTGAGGTTCTAGGCAAGCCTGCAGGGGACCGACCTGCCTGGGCTGTCCCACCTGCTCTTGGGTCTTCTGCTGATCAATGCTTGCCACAAACCTTTAACTTCTCTGCCCTCCCGAAAAGATGACTCAAAGTGAGGCCTGCTCAGGTGTGGACAGAAAGCCCCTGGTTCTTTGAAGAACAAAGGTTTAGATGCTTGGTTAGCAGAAGCTGACTCTAGCCTGGCTGTTGAACAGGTCCCTGATGACAAGTACCACAAGCTTCCCTCAACCCCCATTCTCCCTCCAGAATCACTTGCTAGTCCCAACTATGTTCTGCCTCAACCTCAACCTTAGAAGGGAGTGCGATCAGGAAACACACACACAGAGGCCAGGTTACTCCCTGAGGCCCCACGGCCACTGAGTGACAGCGGCAGCCTTCAGACTTGAGCCAGACCCAGCCTTGCACCCTCTTGCCATATGCCACCTTCATTTCTTTCCTTGTACTCTCTCTAGCTCTCAGAACACAAAGATCTGGAGTGTCTTTAAGCCCATTTAACAGACAGATAAACCAAGCTTAGAAGAGGCTAACAGAAGCTCTGCTTAGGCAGAGGAAAGATGACAAAAGGACGCAGTCTACAAACACCCTGGCATGGGTGGTCAGCTTCCCAAGAGCCTGTGTGACGAGCAGCCCCTGGCACTGGAGCTGGTAGATTAGAGCCTCTGTTCCTTGTTTTACTTTCTTTTTTTAAATACACAAAGCCAAGGAAATACATCCTCTTTTTGTTTTGTTTTTCCCCCTCCCGCCTGGGAAACCTTACAAGTAAATGAATCAATACCGGATGGCCCTATGAATAAATAAGCACATCAGTCAACTCGGTAATAAAATGAAGGGATGAAAAATATGGAAATCAGCGACATTTATGTAAACCCAGTTATTGTTTACTTTCATACTGCCTCGCGCACTTACCGTGGCTCCAAAGGGGCAGATAAAGAGAAGGTGGCGCTTGGAGGACGCCAGACTTAAAACATGCCTTGAGGTCAAGCTCTTCTGGGGGTCTGTCTGAGCCCACTGGGCCCAGAAAAGGCCCCTCAAGATGGACTATTTCATCAGTAGCCTCCCTGCCACTCCCCAACCCAGGGAGATTCCAGTCTCTTTCTGGCCTAGTCCCTGTGCCTGCCAGGTAAGTGGATATTCTCAGAATCCTGGTTAGAGGTCAGAGGACGGGAAACAGGTGGAAGCACCAGGCTCCAGCAAGGCATGGGAAGCGATTTCGACTGCTGCTGCAGGTTGGTGGGAAAGGGTGTGACCCACACGCCTTTCAAGTTGGAAGAGTGGGTGGCACTCATTTGGACCTAGCCGCCAAGATGTCTGAGAGGATCCAAGCAGAGCAGAACGCCATGGTTGCCTAGCACAAACCTCCCTGGAAGGCCAGGTGGTTTGCTCAAGGTCGCAGGCCTGACTCACAGCAGAGCTGTCGCTATCGCTGGGCAGACCAGGGACAGGGAGGTTCCATGGGATGAGCGAATCTCTGGAGATCCACCAGACTCAACTGACGGCCCACCTGTGTGCCAACACCCTAGGAAGGGACACATAGGGAAGGGGGCAGAGCTGGCATGGGGGCAGGGCAGCTTCTCCAAAGCTCTCAGGGGCTGCTGGGCTTGTCCTGGCAACCGCTGGTGGGACAAGATAGGGAGCTGGTGTACTTTTCTGATATGCTGCCGTGGCCTTGGGTCTTACCTCAGCTTGGAAGCTTTTTAGTACAGGAGCCACCATCTCTCTGATTTCCTGAAAAAGAGATCAGCGAAGAATTCACCACAGCACTGGGAGGAACACACCCATGGCCCTGCTCATTCTTGTCTCGTGGTCAGTCTTACCCTACCTAGCATGTTCTGTGTGACCTGCCTGCTGTGGGATTTCCTAAGAGGGATTCTGTTCTGGAAAACTGGACTCCCACACCCAGGGGTGCTAAGCCCAATCGGCTGGGATGATCACGTCCAAGGTTGCTGTTCTGTAGGACCTTGCAGTTGCCAATGCAGCACACCCTGGGAATCGCTGCAGCGGGGTGGGGGATGGTGCTTCCCAAATGGGTCTGGCGGTGGAACAGTCCTGCTGGCGGTGTGATGTGAACAGGTGGCCCATCACAGGGCTCCCTGGGCTGGGGATGCAGGAGGTGGCTCCCCATTCCCCACACTGAGTAAGACGACAACAGAATCTCCCATCCTTCAGCATGTCTCTTAGGCTGCCTCCCTCCTGCAAAGGCTGTTCTCTGTGTCTGAGCAACATCATGGCTCTGCCTCTCTCCTTCCACTCCAGTGTGTGCAGGCTCTGGGCGCTTAGCTGCATTCTCCCTGCTCAGAGGATGGCCCTGGTTGTCTTCTACTGCCAGATTCTGATCTGACCTCCCTCCGTGACCTGGAGGCTCCCAGCCCCAAGGGTGCACTCAAATGAGTTTTCCTCAGCAAGCTAGGGGAAAGTCTCTGAGAACCCAAGACTCAACCTTAAATCTCTTCAACTTCTTTTGAGACCCACCAGGGACTTGCCAACCACAACCAGCCATGGTACAGGAAGTCCCCAAGGGGGGGATGGAGGGAGCCTAGGTGGGGGAGGGTGGCAGAGAAACTGGAAAGGAAGAAGGGACAGATGGACATACATTCTGATAAAGAATATAAACTCATTAGTTATGAAGATAAGGTTGTCTGGCCCTGGAAAAGCCCCCTCTTTTGGGCCAGAGGTACCTTTCCCTTCCCCTGCCCAATGTCTGCTCCCAGGTTTCGGAGAGTCATTGCTGCACTGACACATGTTGGGGCCTTTAGGGGGCCATTCATAGTGCACATGGTCATAGGGACCACAAGACTTAGCAATGGAAAAGGAAACCTATGAGCCCTTAGGTTGCAGCTATGAACAAGTGCCTACCAAGGTCAGGCAGGCAGGAGGCCCCAGGGGGCGGCCTGGAGGGCACAGAGCTGCCTAACACCTGCACAGCTGGAGCTGATGAGCGCCACCTGGACACCTGGGTGGGGACCTGTGAGAGCCTCCAGAGGTTTCAGATGATGCTGGGAAGCTGGCCTGGAGGGGTCACAGATTGGCCACTTCCTGGAAAGTTTGCAAATGAAAGCTATGTCGCAGGAGAGCTCTGGGTGATACATCAGATTACCCAGATTCAGGAGACATTAGCCTGGAAGCACTTTGAGAAAAATGTAATTAAAAGATATGTTTATTTTGGTGCAAAAATAGATCAAAACATAAGCATGGGGTTTCTTTCACAATCCTTCATTCAGGAGAACTAAGGATTCAATTCTGAGAGCCATGGGGGGAAGGGTGGAGGTGGTATTGGCACCACTTCCAGAAGCCCACTGCCTTGCCTGCTTCCTGTTGGCAGCAGCTGGGCAAAGGCAGCGGCAGCAGGTGAGTGGCACCAGCCAGATGCTCTTAAATACAGCCTTGGCATGACTCTTCCACCAGGAGAAAAGAGTTCCAAAAATGAGGATTTTTCAGATGTACGACTATAATAGAAGTGGAAACTTATTCCTTCTAATTACATAATTGCATAATTATGCAGTATTAAAATTATGTAAGCTGAAGTTGGAGGCTTAAAACCTGGCCTGGATTTTTCTCATTACCTGGGGGTTCCTGTGTGGGTCCCGGGGGGCGTGGGGGAAGGAGGATGAGACGGAGGGTCTGAATGGAGCAGAGGGAGAGGGCTGGTGAAGCTGTGGGGATGTGAGGGCAGACTCAGCTCTGCTTCCTGGAGACAAGAGCATCCGAGGTACCCTCATTCCCAGAGAGAAACATGAGCCTGAAGGCCAAGCCATGCTCTTTTCTCAAGGGGCAGGGAGGGCCCTGAGCAGTCTCAGAGTCCAGCCAAATGCCTGCTTAGGCTTTTCGGAGCCCTCAGATCTGAGGCTCACACTTTTTTTTTTTTTTTAATCACCTCTCTGAGTCACTAGCTCAAATTCCTTCTACATTTACTCCAAGGATAAGTTTCAGCTGGTTCCTAGTCCCGTCGCTTGCACTGGAAGAACCACAGGCTTCTATGACTGCTGGGAGAAGATTTCATAGTTGAGAGACCAAGGGGAACCTGTCAGCTCAACCCTGCTGTGCTCATGGCCGCTTCCCGCCTCTCCTCCGACTCTCCATGACTGCCCCTCCCTCAGCAGGACAGCAGCGCCAGCCTCCCGGGGATGTGCACAGGTGGATCGAACTGGTGGATGCCTGGATGCCGACCCGGCACATCTGGGCCAGGTCAGAAGGGCAGAAAACTCCAGCGCCAACCTCTGCTGACACGAGGGAGACAGGGGACTTTGGAGATCGCAGAGGGCTGTGTCCCCATAAGAGCTCTAGGGGCCACGCCCTGTCAGCATCGTAGGGGGCAGGGGGCTTTACTTTTCCTCTTTGTGTTAATTATTCCCGTCACGGCTCCTGCTGTCTTTAACTTGAGCAGCACCAGGGGGCGGGAGAAGAAGCCAGGAACCGGAACTGTTCATTCCTCAGGAATCCAGAGGAATGGGTGCCTTGTGCGAGGGTGAGGGCCGGGGGAGGGGGAAGGGGGATGAGACAGTCTTTTTGGATCTGCGAGCCAAGGAAGGCCACAGCTGCCCTCTGCTAGACGCCGGCAAGAAAAGCAAAACAAAATCAAGACCGCCAGACAGTTCGTGTCTGCCACCAAGGCCAAGTGTTTGACTGAGAGATGAACTGGGGAGAAGTGGATGCTGCCTGGAGCTCTCGGCAACAATGGCTTTCCTGGAGAAACGGTCCGCCCTGGCTGTGCCTGAGCACCGGGCGCCACTGCGCCAGGAAGCACTGGAGGATTCGGGGCGGTAGTTTCTCCTTGTGGCTAATTAGCTTCTTTTCTTGTTAGTCACTTATGTCGACAGTTTTCAAAATATAGTTTGAACAGAGAAAAATGTGCATTCCTACTGAGTTAATTCTATAACAGCAAATATACTGTACCTCAGGTACATTTTTCTTAAATTCCCGGCGGAGTTCAATTAAATGTTTATGAGAATGTTCACTCTCCTCCTGCCGCGCAGACAGCTCAGAAGCGACGGAATTAAGCTCCTTCTGGAACAATAAAATAGAGAAAGAAAGAGAGGGGGAGAAAGAAAAGAGTTTTTTTTTTCTTCTTTTCCATTTTAAAATCATCACACAAAACAGCATCCTGAACAAGTTTTCTTAACTTATAAAGCTGAGAAAAGACAGAATATTGACTACTGGCACAAATGAAAAATTTACAAAACTGGATACGTAACAAAAACAAAACAACAACAACAAAACAAGCAAAACCCAATTCCAGGATAGTTCTCCCGCACAAGGGCAGTTAGATCAGAAGAACCATCTCTCGGGCCCAGCTGCGTGGCCTAGCGGCTAAAGTCCTTGCCTCGAACACACCAATTTGGAGCCCGGCAGTTCCACTTCCCATCCAGCTCCCTGCTGTGGCCTGGGAAAGCAGTCAAGGGCCCAATGCTTTGGGATCCTGCACCCGTTGCGCTCACTTGGGGAGTGAATCATTGAATGGAAGATCTTTCTCTCTATCTCTTGTCCTCTCTCTATATATATCTGACTTTGTAATAAAAATAAATAAATCTTTATTTTTTTTCAAAAAAAAAGAACAATTTCTCGAGGAGTTGGGTGGAGTTTTTCTTTCTATCTCTTCCCCATCCCCTGCTCCACCTCTTAAATCTTCAAAGGAGTGATGGCATAAGCTTGTCAGTAACTGTAGAAAACATCTCCGAACCGTGTCAAAATAGTAAAGTGTGGCATATTGTATGGCCATATTATAGAGCAAGAAAGTGCTGTCGACAGCTTTCATATATCAGCTGTGGGAACGCTTCCAACTATGACTTACTTACACTTAAAGGTTCATAAATACGCCTTTTAAGATATAGATGGCTTTTTAATTTCAGTGGATTTTGGAAAAATGAAGGTGCCAATAAGAAGCACACTGACCTTTTGTGTACCCTGCAGTAAATCATTTAAGGTTCACTTCAAGTATAAGAAATATTTCACTGAAGATTCCTGGATTCAGAAGAAATGGGTTGGAAAGCTCTGGCCCTGCCTGTGTGCAATGGTGGTGGGAGTGGTGAGGGCGGTGGGGACGGTAGCAGGGGGTTCTTCGCTGGATAGAGTTATGAGGGGATAAAAAGTGAGGGACAGAAGGGGCTATACCCCCCAACTCCTCTCAATATGCCTACTTGCCTACTGAACGTATGTGTCTGATCGCCCCTGGGGCTTTCTTCACTTAACGGCGGCAGTCGCACAAGGAGAGTACAATTCACCACAAGTTGTCAGAGATTTCATTTGCATAATTCAAGAAACGCTCTGTTTATGTGGTCCGCTGCTTTCTTGCGCCGTCCTGAGATGGGCTTTTTTTCTGGACCATAACTCGAGGAGTATTTCTGTATATATCACCCGATTATATTTGCAGCAATCAAGCCCTATAATTTCCTAAATCCGGTGGTGCAATAAATTTCTGCAATCAGATTTATTAAAAACACACACGCAGATGCGGGAGTGTGTTTCTTGGGTGAACTCTTTAATCTAACATATGTATGAGGAGGCCTGGCACTGTGTTGAAAGACCCCATTTGTCATTGCTAATACACATTCATCTTGCACACACAATGAAACACTTTTACCATTAGATAATGAAATAAAAGTACTATTAACCTGCTGCAAATCCTTTTCCCTCTAAGAGATGGGACGCGTGGCAATTGTCTTAGATCATGTTTCAGAGTCGGTAAATCTGCTCAACAGCAGCTCACCCTAGCACTGCAAGCCTGGTGTTGTGAGCCTGGGACGAGTGTCTCTGCCCCATGGGGCCTTCTAGAGCAATACGGGGAGGAAGTTCTATACCTAGGAAATGTCTAAGATCTCCAGAGAATCATGAGGGCAGAAAGGAGAAACGGGAGATACAAAAGTTGCTGTTCAATGAGGCAGTACCAGGGAACAGGTGCTGTCCATGGTTCTGAAACCAATCCCTGTTGGAGCACTGGTCTGTTGGGAGATGGGGCTGCCGGCTGAAAAACTCCACAGAATTTTCTTTTTTTTTTTGAGAAAAATATGGATGGTTGGTTATCTTTCTTTAAAGCTAACCTTAATTTCTAATATGCAAACCACAACTGCCCACCAGCACAGTATTGGGTGACTTGGAAGAGGTGGGTGTTCAGAGGGTAACAGTGGAACAATCAGCAGTTGGTGCAGCCCAATGGATAGAGCTTGCTTGGCAGGAGAGAAAACAATTATGTTTCTTGTCTCTCTTGAAGACAAAGATGTGATCTGCACACTGCTGTTGGACAGACAAAATTGAGAGTTGGGTTTTAAACGCCTTGGTTTTGGGGTGAGTGTGACACTTTGCTCTTGTCTGAGGGACATTGTACCTCCACCACAACTGAGACATGTGGTGGGGCTGGGTTTGACTCGCATGAAATACACCCAACATGGGCTCTGCAAGGAAGTCTAGGGCAGGGGAAGGCCAACTCTGTGATGTGCTGCCCCAAACCATTCCATGTGTGACTCCCTGCCTGCACCTCCCAGGCTGCTGGGGGGTGCAGCATGTCTGTTGCATCCTGCACCAGGGAGAACAGAGCCAGGCAAGGCAGGGGACTTGAGCAGGCCTTACTGCAACCAAAGCTTGTGGTGCTTTTCCTGTTCAGATCAGAGAGGCAGAAAATGTCACAGATATTTGCGTTCTTCTCAGCTTTGCTAACCCTATCCTTATCTTTTGATATCCTAAGTTCTTGCTGCATTTCTATGGTAAACACCAGTGAGTGATAACAAGAGTAAAGAATGCTGATAGGCATTTGGTCTACCAGCTAAGGTGCCAGTTAAACAGCAGCATCTCACAGTGGTGTGTCTGGGGTTGACACCAGCTCCCTGCTAATGCAGACCCTGGGAAGCAGTATGGATTCAGTTCTCAGCTTTCAGCTTTGGTTCTGTCCCTGCTGGTGAGGGCATTCGAGAAGTGAAATAGTAGATGGAAGCTCTGTCTCTCTATTCTTCTTATGTAAATAAACACTTATAAAAGTATTTTAAAAAATCTAATTCCCACTTAGTGCTTACATGGATCAGGTACTGTGCTAAGCTCCTATCATACATCATCTGACAGACATATTAAATGTCTGTAAGGGAAACCGTCAATCCCAATAATTCATGTGTGCATTATCTTCTTGATAGATTATAAAAGCAACTTTTTTAAAAAAAGGATTTATTTTATAGATTCAAAGGCAGAGTTAGAGAGAGAGAAAGAGATCTTCCATCTACTGGTTTATTCCCCAAATGAATGCCACAGCTCGGCTGGGCCAGGCTGAAGCCAAGAGCCAGGAACTCCATCCAGGTCTCCCATGTTTGGGGGTACAGGGTTTCTTGGGCCACATTCCACTGCTTCCCCGGACGCAATAGCAGAAAGCTGGGTTGGAAGGAGAACAGCCAGGACTTAAACCTGTGCCCATATAGGATGCTAGTGTCACAGGTGGTGGCTTAAATTACTACAATCACAATGCTAGCTCTTATAAAGCCAAATTTCAAATAACCTGCTCTACTTCCCCATTACCTGGTATGTGTTCAGTGCTTGTTTTAAAGGACACAACACAAATGTGTAAAACATTATAGCATGGTAACAAGAGTTTAATAAATGCTGGGTGATATTAATTTTACAGTTAGATAAACTTGGAGCTCAGACAACACCCCACTAGACAAATGATTCCAAGAGTTTCTGGATTTCACGAATCAGTAAAAGTCTAACTGGAAATGGTGTGTGCTGGGTGGGGGCAGGGGGAGAAGAGTGCAAAAAGAGTAATGCCACGTTTGACTGAAATAGTCAAAGATGCTAAACTGCACCGGTTTGTGCCTGTTAAAAACAGACACCTGGATGTCAGCCAAGTAAGGACAAGGATGAAACTGGAACATTTAAAATAAAAAAGCTCATGGTAATGTACATTGTTATGAAGAAACAAAAATTCTTCATGGGTCTAGAGTTAAAAGACACACACAGAGCTAGCAAGGCATTTGAAAATCACACAGAAATCAGGATGCTCCTATACCCTGGGTCCTCGGCTCCCCGCCCCCAGCCCGGTGGGGGGAGCCTTGCTTCACACAGCCCCAGACTCCAGGCGGGCAGCCGATCATCTGATTAACCGGCCAGCAGCAGCAGACAGACAGCCCGGAGCCCGGCGCAGACCATTCAAATAATGATCATCATAAACAGCCCATTTGCAACTAAAAAGAAATAATTTTAATGAGCTTGAAGCAGATGATAGATGCAGCTGAGGCTCAGGCCAACGTGTGCAGAGCCAGCGAGCCAGGCCTGAGCTGCACCCAGGATGAGCCGTGCAGGAAGAAACGGGGCTCTGAGGAAGGGGTGCTCAATGGCACTGGCAGTACCCAGGGCCCAGCATGTGCCCCAAGCCTGAGAGGGTCTGCAACCCAAGAGCTGAGTGATCCTGGCACTCAGGACTTAAGTCACTTTGAAAACAGGAGCCAGAGGAAACCTTCGAGGTAGCCTGGCTTTGCTGCCCAAACTTGAGATGCACAAGCCCTTTGTGTGAATTTTGCCATGTTGACATTCCATCTCACTACAGTTCTATTATTGTGCATCCTCATATGGACTCCCAGTGTTTTATTTGTAACCAAGATATGCCCAGTTTTAGGCTCACTGTTAAGCTCAATGAATTTTCACCACTGGCCAAATGGAGACAGGGACTGTTCATGTTTCTGGCACCTTTGTGTCCCCTTCTAGCTACTCCCTACCCCAATAAAAACAACCATGTTTCTGGTCCTAGCATCACAGTTAAATGTGCCTGTTCTTTCTCTTTATTAACTGAGCGTCAGTTTCTGTGTCTGTAATATGGGGATAAAAATTCATGCTTATAGTGCTATTGTGAGAACTTTGACCCCTCAAGATTTAGTTACTTATTTGAAAGGCAGAGTGACATAGAGATTGGCACAGGGAGAGAGAGAGAGCTAGTTAGTTCTTCCATTCTTTGGTTCACTCTCTGAATGCCTGCAACAGCCAGGGAAAGACCAGGTCAAAGCCATGAGCCAGAGAACTCTGTCCAGGTCTCCCAT